TAATGTTATTATATTATCCTTTAAATATATTAATAATTTAAAGTTTTAGAAAATGTAACAGATATTGAATACTCCTTCCGTTTCAAATACGTGAATTATTGAAGTTTTTTTCGTAGTTCAAAATAATTGAATTGTTTAAAATTTAAGAGAGTTATTGAATTTCCCCCCTTTTTTTGCCCCTCATTACATCTTATAGGTGATTATTTCAAGAGTGTTAACTATTCATAATTATGATTTTACTTTGAATTATTTATATTTTTAAGAATAGTTTGAAAATATTTCAACGGACAAAAGTAAAAGTGGTGTTTATTTTAAGTTCTTAACTTTTTTTTATTAATGAGTGTGCATTGGCTCAACAATTCATTTATTTTGAAATATTGAATATTAAGAATAAAATAGATACAAAAGAATAAATTATAATTTTGAAATATTTAATATTAAGAATAAAATAGACACAAAAGAATAAATTATATTTTATTTTTTCAAATTAAACAAATATTTATGAAACAATTACTTTTAATATAGAGAAAAGACATAAAGTGACACCTGAAGTTGTCCCGAATTTTTAAAAAGACAAATAAACTATGCAAGCGTCCTATTACCCTCCTAAACAATCATGAACTAATATTATTACATCATTTTTTGTCCAGCTAGCATGGAGAGTGTATGCACTCTCTTAAAGAACGTGAATAAACTAAAAAAACAAATTTAATTACATTTTTACAAGTATTTTGCTATAAAATATATTTTCTTGTTTTTCTTATTATTTTAACTTTTTCTCCTTATTATTCTTTTCTTTTTCTTTCTTCCTTCTTCTTCAAAATTTCATTGTCATCTTCATTGTACCTTCTCACTTTCAATGTCACTTTTTACCACAACTCCATCTCCCTTTTTTACTAATATTAGTTTAACTTTCTTCAATTTTAAAATTATATCTAAATATTTTATTACATTTCAAACAATTTGATAAATCTATTAGATTTCAAGATGATTAGTATTATTTAGTTTTTTTATTCAAATTTCAATTAAACTTTTTCAATTTTCGAAGAATTCTGATTCTTTCAAAATTATCATTTCTAGCTTTGAAGTTATATGAAAATGAGATAAATTAATTGATGATACCTTTAAAATTTTGATTTTTTTTATAAAAATAATTAGTTTTGTTATCAATAACACAAATTCTAGAAAATAATGTAATTTTGGAAAGAAAGAAATTTGACCGAAGAAGAAAAAAGAAAGAAAATGGAGGAGCTTAATTTGACGTGGGGGTGGGGTGAGGTGAAGAGGAAGAAAGAAAGAAAGAAAATGGAGAGAGAGAGAGGTAGCTTGAAAGTAGGGGTGGAAGATGAAGTAGAATTTAAAATGAAATTAAAATTAAAGTAATAAAATTAAAATATGTCAAAAGTAAGAGAGAGAAATAAAGAAAAATTTAAAATGAAAAAAAAAATATACTTCAAATTAAATTAATACGTGTTACATAATAATTGGTGTGTGATAACACTTGCCATTTAAAATTTGGAATCGATCAAAAAATGATGCAATAATATATTATCGAAATTATTTAAGGAAGTAATAGAACATCTACATAATTAAGATGTCTTTTTAAAAATTTGAGATAACTTGATGTGTTACTTTATATCTTTTATCTTTAATATAATTGAACTTCGTGAGACAAATCGAAATTAAAAAATGGAGGCATAACGTGAAAAGATGAATAGTGAGGCATTTATGATTTTGAGAGGCAAAGTATGGGAAGTTGGGTCGGTGTTAATGATGTCGAATGGGCCAGCGTTTCAACGGCTGACCGGGGACTAAAGGGCAGCAGAAATTGGCTCAACAGTCAACACCTGTCTCCTTTTGGGACACCTGTGGGGAATGGTCCGTCCTACCCTTCTCTCTTCCTCAACATTATTACTTTTTTGATTTCGGTGGTTGAAATCTATATTAAAGCTGTGATTAAATTTAAATTGTGCACTGCAAGACCTATTCGAAGGTGTCGTTTTCAACAAAAAAAAATTCATATTCAGGATTCAAATCCAAAACCTCTAATTAAGAATAAAATACTCCCACCAATTCACAACAACCCATATTGATCATCAACATTATTACTACTCTCACCGCTGTTCCTCACAAATATTACGCCTACGACTAAGGGCCCATTTGGTAACTTTTAATTTTAAAGTTATTTTTTTCATAAATATAAAAATCATAAATTAAGATGAATTTTTAGAATTAAATCTATACTGTCAAGAAAACTTAATTCTAAATATTTAATTTTATTCAATTAACTTGGGATGTTTTCTTTAAAACAAATTCAAAGGAAAGATAAATAAAATGAAATGAAGAGTGTATTATTCCTTCTGTCTCATATTAATTGTTCATATTAAAAAATAATTATGTGATAATTTGCAGAATTAAAATAAATTATTTTTAATTTATTCTTATAATAAATAAAGTTATTATTTTTATTTATAATTTTTTTTTAAAATATATGAAGAAGACCTTTAATTAATAATAGTAAAATACTTATCATTCCACTAGAAGGTTTGTTAGTAAATTATTACTTTAACTTTGATTGTCACGCCTGCACAATGATGATGATTGATGATCAAGTGGCAGATTAAGGATTAAGGTAATTAAGAGCTCGTTTGGATTGACTTTAAAAAGTAGTTTTTAAGTCAAAAATAAAAAGTTAAATTGAAATGATTTTTAAATCAAAAAATAAAAAGTATGGAGAGATTTACTTTTGGTTCTGACTTATTTTAAGTCATTTTTTACCTTGTCAAATATTTTGTAACTTATTTTAAATCATTTTTCATATTTGCTAAATACTTCTAGAAGTTAAAATCTGACTTAAAAGTATATTTGATAGACTTTTAAGCCAATCCAAACGGGCTCTAAGTAAACAACAAACAATATGGGGAAAAGGTTAAGCATCTCATGACGTAACTGAGCTTAATGTTTCATCAAAATCTCCTACTATTTTGCAGCACATAGTAATCAATACTTAAACATTCAGCACCAGTTTTTTCATACGCTTTAAGGTATTTTTTAGTTTTAAAATACTTTCTCATTTGGTAAAACCTATTTTCAGCCAAATACGAACCATTTTTATTTCATGCACTTGTCAGATTAAACGATAATTATTTAAGCTCTTAGCACACATAATACAAGTGTCGTAAATGATTAGTATCCCGCTATCATCACTCTAAATATCAAATCATTTAAACAGCAAAAGTTTAATACTTCTTCCTCTTTTCTTAAGTTTGTTTTAAAAAAACTCTTTTTACAATTTTTAAATCTATTTTTTCACATGACATGTGTCATTTTGATATATTCTATGTATTTTTAATTACTTAAGACTATCAAAATTAAAAAATCTTTTTTCTCTTTTTAAATTTCACGTGAAGTTAATACTTTCTCTATTTTATTTTATTTGTACATTTTAACAAATCAAAAGAATTCTTTTACTTCTTTTTTTCATATTATCCTTAGTATTAAATAATTGTATTATCAAATTTAAAATTTTGAAAATATCATTTTAATAAAATATAATTCTAATTAAAAAAAATTAAAAATGTGATAGATGAACGAGAACATGTAATATTAAACGGAGGGAGTAAAAGAAAAAGAAACAAGAGAAAATTTCGCAAATAGCCACTATAATAAATTTAATTATGCTTCATAGCTATAGTTCACATATTTACTGATTGCAGCCATAGTTTAAGTTGACTCGTTTGTATAATTTGCGGGTTTGTATAGTTCGTAGATAAGTTTGTATGATTGAGCTATTTTTTTAATAAACTCAAAATAACGAATATATGCAACATAAACATCTAAATTTTAAACAGTTATACAAATTATATTATACAAAAATTAAATATATTATATTATATAAATTTTAAATTATAAAAAAATTTGAATTATACAAACTTAAAACTTCAGTTCACGTAATTATCATTAAATGTTAATTATGAACGATAATTAACTAAAATTATATGTAACCAATTAACTAGTATGTATTCGTAATTTCTCCGAAAAAAATATCTGTTTCTGGCGGAGAGAAGGCGTTAGAGTGGTCACGAATAAAAATAGGATGGTGACATAATATCGAAAGTAAAAACTGACGCGCAAATAAATGGGAGGTGGGTCCGGGCTGGGGGCCCGCATCCCGCTCGGCCCGTTGTAATTTTCTTGCGCTTTAGAAGGGCAAAGCATCTCATGTGCCGTTAGGTCGCAAGTTTCCGGGGAATACCCAAATGGACCCTCACTTTTAGGAAAACTCCTCCAACATTTTTCTTATACTATTTGCCCTTCATCTCTACCAATATTACCAACCAATGCCATCAACATATTCTTTTTTTCTTCAATTATAAATAATTTGGTTAAGCTAAGTTTCTGTAATTTAGTAACGGCACTACTCATTTTGAAAAATGCCTGTTTACTCAAAGAAGTTAAAAAGGGCGATATATTCATCTTTACTTTGTTTTACCCCTTAAATATTTTAGGAAAATTGGCATATGTTCCTTGGACGAGAAAATGACAAAAAAAGGCCCCTTTATATTTTAAAGTATGATTAATCTAAGCTACTATCTGTCAAATATTTAACTACTTCAATTATTAAATTTAATCGACACCGAAAAACATTAATTAGAAGTTCACATTTAAAAGTGTAACTTTTATAATTTCTGCTATTTTTGGCTTCCTTGTCTGGCAGTTTCTGAAGTACTGAGAAACTAAATATATTTATTTTTAATAAATTGATGGAATTAAAACTGCTAAACTACTTTAAACCGATCCTCACGACTCACGAGGCTCCCTTTTATGTCACTTTCTCTTTCTGGAACGTAGTAATGGCAAAAAGGTAAATATTTAGAAAACAAGGATATAATTGTCAGAAAAAAAAAACAGGGGAAGATACAAGGAATAGTTGGCCAATAGAATTAGATTCCACTTGCACCAAATTGAGAAACATCATTGTTTTGCACTTTACACTTTCTCTCCAAATAAAATATTTGTACCAAACTTTCTTTATAACTCACCCCATTTCTTTCTCCAAAAATAATATATTTTCACACTGTTTTTTCTCCTCTCTAGTTTCTACTATACAAACAAGAAAAAAAATGGACAGTGCAACAAGAAGAGGGCCTTTTTGTTATACTGCTTTACAAAGGAAGAGTAGCCTCACAAGTCTTTCTTCTTCATCTTCTTCTTCAATGTCATCTCCAAGATTTGCTGGTGGAAGAAAGTACTATGATACTACTAGATTTCAACAACAACAACAACCCCATTTCTTGGATGCTTGTTTTCTTTGTAACAAACCACTTGGTTATAACAGAGACATTTTCATGTACAGGTCAGTTTTTCTTCATTTAAAGTATGTTTCAACAAAATGTTCTTTTTTGTGATTTGTTAGTTTGATATTTTGTGCATTACTTTCAATTTACAACATTTAGAACTCTTATTATCTTTCTTTAATGTGTTTAGTTTTCTTATTTTTTGTTGGGGAGATGGATGGTTTAATAAATAGTAACTGTTGTTCTGATCAAAGATCTTATTTTTATTTAAGAATTCAATTTTTTACAAAAAACAGAGTAAAGAACTTCTTTATGGAGTGCTTATAAATCAGGTTAAAACAGAGTTGTTTGGATTGAATTTTCATATTGTCACATAATTAATAGTTACTATCTCATAAATTCATCCTTCTTGATTTTAATTTTTTCCAACAAAAAAGTAACTTTACAAGATAATAATAACTATGTCCGAAAAAATAAAACATTGATTGCTATACATTTAGTCATTGTGAAAATGAGTTTTTGAGTAATTGTTGTTTTAATTGTAATGATGCAGAGGGGATACTCCATTCTGTAGTGAAGAATGCAGACAAGAACAGATAGATATGGATGAAGCAAAAGAGAAAAAAATAAATCTTTCAGCATCCAAGGCTTTGAGAGAAAAGGACCAGACTACTTCTCCCAAAAATTACCATTTTCCCAGAGGCACAGTTGCTGCTGCTTGAGTCAATAAACCCAAAAATATATTACTACTCTACTTACTATATATATATACTACTACTACTAAAAGCCTCATTAAAGAAAATGAGATGAACAAGTAGAATAGTTTTTTTAAAATCTTTGAATACTTTAGTAAAGTGATATGTAAATGATGATATGGAAGAGGAGGGTGTGTTGTTTTGGTTATGCTCTATATATATATCATATACAAAATATAGCTCTGTTTTTTGGTGGGCTGCTTAAGTTTGTGTGTTTGTATCATCTCTGTTTTTCACTAGTAATTACTATGAATTTCAAGGCTCAAAAAAGTATACAGGTTTTTGAAATGAGAGAAGTAATTGAAGCTTCTACATGTTAGTCCAAGTTCTTTGTATTGACTAGTGTGTTTTATTTAATTATACACCAACTCACAACTTTTACCTTCAAATTGTTACCAAATGGACAAATGAATGTGGCTTAAAAGTATGTCACTAAGAATTTGTATCATATAAAGAGAATAGATAGATTATGCGCCGAACTTCAGAGATAAAAAAGACTATATCTGATCCTCGATTCAAGTAAAAATAAATTTTATCCTATATTTGTGCAGGAAAAAAGTACTAAAAACTTCAAGAGGTAAAAAGGAACCTACCAGGTGTACCGTTATGAAAGGGTGAAAATCATTGATATAAAGAAGAAAAGAATTTTAAAAACATAAATGTCACCTAAAGTTGTAGCAAAATAGTTTAAGAGATTTTAAAAAAATACTTCAAAAAGTAGAAGAGAATTTTAAAAACAATGATACAAAATTTTACACTGATAATTAATTCTTCTTCTTATTATTATTACAACAACCTATTTGGTTATTTCTTTCACTTTCTAAGTTGCCAATTGAGTTTATTATGAATAGTTAGCTGTTATCCGAGGATCTGACTATGTAAATATAATATATTATTATTATTCCACAATAATTAACCTCATTAATAATATAATGTTGTACCTTTACTTTAATATAAATAGAAGGTAATCGAAGTTGGATCATTGAGGTTTTACGTTAGAGAATTAGCTGCTTGCTTACCTGCCGGCCTAATTTTAAGGTGAAATAGATTTTGTAGTGCAAATTTGAATTAATCGAATTTAAATTACTTGACTTGAAGGCTTTTAAGTAGCTCTTTTGATGAGAATTGTGAAAGATAAAAAAAATCCACGAGAACATTAGTGTAATGAAATATTTCAATAGTAGTATAATAACACGCACAATATAATTATTAAAAATGTACTCTTATTTAGAGGGTGAAATAGTTTATCTACTTTCTTTATATTAATTTTTTAAATATAGATTAATTATTCAAATGATATTAAAGATTATATCTCTTATAGATTTTTCTTTTCTTTTTAAAAAAAATAATAAAAGAGACTAAATAATCGTGATTATTCCCTTTCTTATTTTGAAAAAAAATAATCATTAAACTTTAATGTTGTGCTTTTGAAAGTTCTAATATAAACTTCTGATATTGAAACTTACCAACCAAGCCACTTGCCCAGGACAGTCAAAAGAAGAATAGGGACATTAATCTCGTTCACCGTCAAAATAAATTTTGACGGGTACGTAAGAATTATGTTAAATATATAAAGTGTATTAATAATATTGAAATTAGTGATATAGAGATTTATTTATTGTTTGGTTTAAAAAACATCCTCTACATTCATTAATTTTGTATACTTTTAGGAGCGAATATATCTTGTGATGTTGTCATGTTTGTTTTAAGAATTTATATTTTTTTAAAAATATTTTACACAAAATATATAGGAAAATTGAGGTGGGAAAAACTTGATTTTTAATTTTTTTTGGATCAATTGGTGAAAAAATTTGGCTCCAATATATATCATTTCTTAATAAAAGTGCAAAGTAAAAAGGTGACATATAAAATGGGACATAGGGAGTATTAACATAGTGAGTTTACCATTTTACCCCTATTAAATATTGATTATGAAGTGTATGAATTAAAAACTTAAGATTTTCAAAAAGTTCTACCTTTTTCAAAATAATTAATTGATGATATAATAAGTAAAATTTCTTTCTTGATTTATCAAAATAGACAAATAACTAAAAAAAGAAAAATTGATAGGTAATTAGGGACAGAGAGAGTACTTAACAAGTAAATATAACAAAGATACAATAAAAACTTATTGGCTTTCTCTAAAATAAAGAGGTAAATATGGAACCAACCAAGTGTACCGTTATGAAAGGGTGAAAATCATTAATATTAGGAGTGTACATGATCGGGTTGGTTCGGGTTTTTTAAATATCAAACCAAATTATTTGTATCGGATTTTTGAATTTATAAATCAAAACAATAAAATTCGAGTTTTTCAACCTCGGGTTTTTTCGAATTTTTTCGAATTTTTCAGATTTTTGGGTTTTTCGGGGTTTTCTGGTAAAGTATTAATACAAACATATAATTTACTTCTACTTCAAATATTTCTTTAGTCCTATCAATATACAACTATCTAAGGTGTATCTTAAGAAAATAACACAAAATATGATATGAATAATGACACTACAATAACCAACAAAAAAATAATAATGAAATCGCGTAAAACAAATATTGCAAATTATAAGTCATAGTGAAAATGATCATAATTTAAAAGTACTAAATCATGCTAAAATAAGTTTAATAAGTGTTAGTTACATGACTAAATATTAAAGGAAATTAAAATTAGATTATGTATTTTAATTGTCTAAACCTATGTAAAACCAAAGAACAAATATTCAATATTATTGTCATTCTTAGTGTTGAATTGATTTTCTTTTTTCATTAGTATTAATTTGATTTTGATTTAAGCTTTATTATAATTACCAACACCTATGGACCAGGGGTGGAGCCACCTAGTACTAAGGGGGTTCATCCGAACCCCCTTTAGAGGAAAATTATATTAATTATACATGGTTAAAATAATTTTTTATGTATATATAGTAGATGTCGAACCCCCTTTGGCTACTTCGTGTGTCTATTTCTACAGACTTTGAACCTCCTTATTGAAAATCCTGGTTCCGCCACTTCTATGGACTATAATCTTTATTGGACCATTAGTAATTCTAACTTTCAAACATGAAATAATATATTAAAAAATAAAAACTATGAAAAAGTATAAAAAATATTTTAAAATTATATCAAGTAAATATTTTTACGTATAAAATAAAATTTTAAAATTATATATAATGTCGGGTTGGTTTGGTCTCAGGTGGAATTTTTTTAGTTGAAATCAAACCAACCCAAATATAGTCGTTTTTTTTCCAATACCAAATCACTAGTCGGGTTTTTTTCTCGATTTGACTCGATTTGCGGTTTGGTTCGATTTTCGATTCGATTTTGTACCCCTAATTAATATAATCAATGCTAATTAAGGAAATCTGGAACATCACATAAATGACACCTAAAGTTATAGCGAATTAGTTTAAAAGATTTAAAAAAATACTTCAAAAAGAAGAAAAGAATTTTAAAAACAGATTATATACAAAATTTAACACTAATAATTAATTCTTCTTATTATTACAACAAGCTATTTGGTTATTTCTTTCACTTTCTAAGTTGCCAATTGAGTTTATTATGAATAGTTAGCTGTAATCTGAGGTAACTTTAATCTGATTATGCGAAAAATATATTATATTATTATTCCACAATAATTAACTTTTTTAACAATATAATGTTGTACCTTTTCTTTAATATAAGCAGAAGTTAATCAAAGTAGGATCATTGAGGTTTAACGTTAGAGAATTAGCTGCTTCCTTACCTGCCGCCTGCCGGCCTAATTTTAAGGTGAAATAGGCTTTGTACGGTACAAATTTGAATTAGTCGAATTTAAATTATTTGAATTTTAGGCTTTTAAGTAGCTCTTTTGATGAGAATTGCTGGAAAAAAAAATCCTCGAGAATATTAGTGCAATGAGATATCTCAATAGTAGTATAATAGCACACACAATATAATTATTAAAAATGTACTCTTATTTAGAGGGTGAAATAGTTTATCTACTTTCTTTTATATTAATTTTTTAAATATAGATTAATTATTCAAATGATATTAACGATTATATCTCTTATAGATTTTTCTTTTGTTTTTAAAAAAATAAATAAAAGAGACTAAATAATCGTGATTATTACCTTTCTTATTTTGGAAAAAAAATCATTAAACTTTAATGTCGTGCTTTTGAAAGTTCTAATATAAACTTCTGATATTGAAACTTACCAACCAAGCCATTTGCCCAAGACAGTCAAAAGAAGAATGGGGACATTAATCTCGTTCATCATCAAAATAAATTTTGACAGGTGCGTAAGAATTATGTTGAATATATAAAGTGTATTAATAATATTGAAATTAGCGATATAGAGATTATTTATTGTTTGTTTTAAAAAATATCCTCTACATTCATTAATTTTGTATACTTTCAGGAGCAAATATATCTTCAATCATTTTAATACATATATTAGTACCTTGATATTCCTAATATCGTATTTTGCTATGTATTAGTTATATATAAGATAATAATATCTCTTTGGGTACTTATTTTACCTTTTAGCAATAACGTTCTTTTAACCAATTTATGATATTTTATACTTTCATGATGATCTGAGAATTTACCTTAGCAATTCTTCAAATTTTGGTCGATAAAATTTTGAAGTATAGTCTACATGACTATTCTACTTTCAATCACCATCATTCATCATCAAAGAGCACTAATTTTATTTTGGATCCCATTTTCCTTTATTCCTTCATCATGAAATTTCATTGCCTTTTTATTTCTTTTTTCGAGACTTCCTTCTCACATTATTCTTTTCTTAGTTAGTTTTGAATTTTATTTTTCTTTAAATGACCACGCAGAAAAACGTAAAGGGAAATAAGTGATCATTAAAGAGAAGAAAGCTATAGGTCTAGGCCTATATATTTAATATTGATTTATTGTTGAATTATTTGTACATAATTAATTATTTTACAATTATATATGTACTATGCTCGTTTTATGAATCTTGTATGACTTGCAAACCTAATGGGAAGAAAAGGGAAAGAAGTTTAAACAATTCAATCGTCAACCTTGTATCTGTATAAATATATATATATAGCACATAAATATGGTTTTCCATATATATACGAGTAAGATTTTTCATTTTATGAATTAATTGTTAAATGGTAAACATTATGACTAAGCAATGCAACTAATTACTTCGACTAAGTGTTAAGCCTACAAATAAAGTCACATATTAGTAGCCGAAAAAGAAGATGTAATGGATACTAGTTACTGTAAATAGTGTGAATGTGTTTTTATTTAAAAACAAATTATGTGAATTTGTTTTAAAATGAATAGTATCACACCAAGTTAAGAATATTTTTTATTTATTTAGCCCAATATAAAGATGACATATTAATAGCATGGGGTCTGACTTGATACTTTTACCCATCTATGAGCCGATTTATTACTACTTTTATCTGTAGTTTTTAAGACGCATACATAAAAAAAAAGAAAAAAAGTTAGTGTTGCTTTAATTGTCATAAAATTCGATTGATGTGGAAACACACAATATATTATCATATAAAATCATGAAGTGATGGATGATGTGAAATTTAGTTTGAGCTAGAGAAAGATTATTCGGTGTGCGAATAAAACCTTATATTAATTAATAACTCAAAAAAAATAAAATGCTACAAATAAAGTGCAGTACTATTTATACATTTCTTAGTGTGAGATGTTGTAGAAAAAATCATGTGAATTTAGTTGAATGAAAAATTAGAAAGTTGATAATATTTGAGTTAGTCCAAATAGACTAGATATGAAAATAAATATATGTGATGTTATTTAAATTAACTAATTATTTTTAAAAAAAAAGTCAACACACTTTCACCGATTATTTTTTCACACAATAATGTACAGAAACTCTAAAAAAAATATATCTTTAAAAAAAATGATGTTCATCCATTATTTTTTAACACAATAATGGCATGTGAAGTACACACATCCCACTTTGTTGATTCTTTGGAAAGAAGTGCCAAAATGGAACATAAAATTTGGAGTTGAAGGGTTAAAATGAAACAAGGTTGAGTTGGAGTGCCAAAATGAAAGTTAGGGACAAGTTTAAGGGTCTGCATATGTGTTTGGCCAAACAAATAATATCATAATTATGTTAATGGCATGGGGTCTGATCAAACAATAATTTGATTGCCATTAAAAGATGTGATGATTTGATGAGACCCTACATCTTCATTATCTTGAATTCAATTATTCAAGTATTGAAAATAAAAGATTTTTTTAGTAAAACATGTGTTTCTCTTGATAAGTCTTTTGCAATACAAATTAATCGAGTCAATAATACAAAATACTTAGTGATTATAAGGAAAAAGTCGAATGAGTTTATCAGAGAAGGTGTGGGAAAGGGAGGGCCATGGTACTAGCTAGAGTTCTTCCAAATTAAAGGGATCTTATATGTTGGACTATTTTATTTTTTTAAAAAAACACAGTAAATTTACTCATTTTAATTATTTAAATTTAATGAATGAATCAAGTAAATAAATATATTTTACAAAATTCATAATTAATAATGAAGCAATAATGAATCAGTTTGTCAAAGTCTATATGTAGATAGCTGCCCAAACTACTTTCTTTAATGAGGTTTTGACAATTATACATTGACCATGTAACCTTAGTTTAATTGCCTGGAATCAACGGCCTCTAATCACTATCACTCCATTAATTAGAAAACGAGTTTTCTTTGCACCAAAAAAACACGGTTAAGTTTCTTAATTTGTATTGTTGTCGCAATTTAATCAATTGAGTCAAATCAAAATAGGATTTGCTTACTTTATTCTTACTTATTCATAATAGATTTTGATTCCTTTGTAAAAAATAATTATATATTTCAATATTATAGATAAATAAAAGTGAACGAAGAAAAAGAATTTAATAATATTAATATGAAATAAGTTTATTCTCTCAGATCATACCTTGTTCTATTATCTGAGTGAGAAAACACAAACATTATTTATTTGCGAAACAAAGTCAAATACACAAATCCTTGACTTCTATTTTAGATAGCCCAATAAATTACATGGGCGGAGGTATGTGGTAGCTTTAATGTGAGCTATCTTTAAATTTAAGAGTTGAAAAAGCACTACTTTTGGAAGGTTCTATAAACTATAGATATAAATTTTTTTATGGAATTTAAAATAATATTTTATAAAACAAATTTAATTTATTTTCAAAATGTAAAAATAAAATTTTATAAGATGAGACAAATCCTTTTTCAAATTGTAAAATTTATTAAGATTGCAGTCAATTTTCATCACTAATAAAAAAAACACAAATTGACATACTTAGTGAGATCAAATGTCTTTCAATTCTTCTCTCACAGTCTGATTGTGCAAAATTTGGAGCCACAAAAATGCAAAGATGAAAGCTGGTAGGCAACAGACCCTCGCCATTGCGATTATCATCCCTAATCAGAAAGAGTTTTTGTTTGCACAAGCTTCAATTTAAGGGTATACTTCTAGTCTTGTTTTTGAGTTTCGACAAATCCACACTCCAATGAGCATTGAAGTTGGGGTATTTATAGACATCAAAATTTTACCGCATTTAAAATAGGAATCTACTTGACAAATCTTCTAACTCTAAGTATAAGACTTTACAAGACGAGTTCAATCCATTTTCGAACGGAAGGCTTTAGAATTTTTACCAGGCTACTTTATCCTAAATTTTAGTTCACATATATAAAAAAAATCAGATATTTTCTTGAAGAGACGTCACGAATAACTCGGAAATTTTTAGGATATTCACAAAGAGATCAACATCAAATATAGTTTTTCTCAAAGTAAAGTGTACTCCAACTTTCTTGGCGATTAAATATACCGGTTCAAATTATCTTATGTTCGAGAAATATGTCATTAATGACCTTCGAATCACAAAAAAATCTTAGGAGAGAAGAATCAAGAGATAAAACAAAACTATACTTTCAATTATTCATCACTAAAATCTTGTTTCATTATAATCTATTTGTGATTGCAGTTATTTTCTATCATTTTTAAATTTGCTACTTGGTAATATCTGGCTTGACACACTCCTCAGAAAAAAATATTAAATATAATACTAAAAATTTACTACAGATGTCGCCCCAAATTATTGTTAATCATCTAAATATTAAAAATTAATACTTCATTCATTTTAATTTATTTTTCTTATTAAACCTGTCACCAAGTTCAAATATTGAAATTAAAAAAAAAAAAAAAAAACTCATGAAAAGCGAAAAGGTTCTGACCCGGGCCCTGCAGCTAGGCCCATTGCAACTTTTGCACTTAGGGAAGACCAGGCCTGCTCCAAATGCATCTCACATTCGGACCATTCGTGTAAAAATAGATGAAAAACTAGTTTAAGCTTGTTATTCTTTGAGAAAATTTTAGAAATAGCAAATATAATAGACATAATAAGATTCTATAGTTATAGTTTTGATAATTATGCTCCATAGCTATAGTTTCGTTTGCTATGGAGGTTATGGTTTGTGTATATCTGCATGTTTGTATATTTCGCTAGCGAATATACAAATAGGAAAAGTATATACAAATTTTGTATTTATACATTTAGGAATTTTTTCCGAACTCCATTTGTATATTTCGCTTGCTAATATACAAATACGGTAATTTATTATGAATTTTTCATAAATCCTATACAAATAGCTATGGTAAACATATACAAAATTTTGGATTTATACAATTAGGAACCAAATTATACAAATTCTGAATTTATACAAATCAGGTGAATTAAACAAATCAGATGAATCGCAAGAATGGGAAATTGTAGCCACGAATTACAATTTTCTTAAACAATAGCTATAGTACCTAATATAGACTAAATGTTTGTTATTATGCATAATTTTCCCTACTTTTAAGGCCATCCATTAATCCCAATGAATTTCAATTCATTGCTTCGTCTCCTTCAATAATGTCTATGCCTTCAACTTGTTCTAAGAACAAAATAGGATTCTAGATGTAATAAGGTATTCATACTAAAAAAACTTTATAAAAATTATAACAAATCCTAACAAAATATAAGCAATATCTTCTTCCAGTTCTGAAAATCATTGTTAAAATATGATTTCTATTTAGGTACCGAATATAACAAAATATAAGCAATATCTTCTTTAGGAACATATTTTTTTCTACTTAGGTACCGAATATAACAGAAATTTAAAATTTATTATAAAAAATCTTGCGGGAATTAAAAAATACTTTTCTAAAAACACACATATATATGTGAAAAAAGTTGAAAGCGGAAGGTTAAGTGGGGTTGGGTAGAATTTTTGTTTTTTTAAAAATAAAATATTATCTATGTTATTATTTGAGGGGGGTGGGGGGTTAAGGAGATGAAGTAAAAAAAAAATTAAAAACTTTTTATAAAAAGAAATTTTAAAATATAATTGAAAAAAAGGGGGGTGGGGGGAGTACGGTGAGAGGAAGTGGTAAAATGGAGTAAGAAAAATATTTTATAATTTTTTGGGAGATAAGAATACTTTAATTTTTAATTAGTACTAATAATTCATTTAATTTTTGTCAAAATAAAATACTTTGTCTATAGAGTGTGATGTGACAATTTTTTTAAATAAAAGAAAAAGTGTAATACATACGCCATGATGAGAATGTAATAAAATAGAGAAGTGTGTTTCTCAAATTAATAAGTAATATTTTAGATATGAAACTCAATAAAAGAGTTGTTGACCTCATTAATCTTTCTTTATAAGCACACTTTTATCTCATTCCCATTTCTCCAATCTATTTTCTTTCCCTGCAAACCAAAAAGATAAAATAAAAATGGAGTCAGCAACAAGAAGAAAACGGCCCTGTTTTATCAACGACGGTCTTGTCTCTGTGGCTCAAATGGGAACTGAGATTTCAACAAACAATCACAATTCATTAATTTCTAGGAGAACTATTTTCAAGAATCTTACTTTTGATTCTTCAATCTCATCACCAAAATTACCTGCTAGAATTGAACAACAACAACCCCATTTCTTGGATTCTTGTTTTCTTTGCAATAAACCAATTGCTCACAACAGAGACATCTTTATGTACAGGTTACTTTTTCTTATTCAAATTCATCCTTTATTTTTCAACTTTCAAATTCAAATTTTATAAGTTAAGTAATCAGACAAACAAATTGAAACACAGAGTAATTGAATAGTAGGGTTCTAGTAAAAAGTTCTTTTAGCACGCCGCTAAATATGTCTTTGTAAATATCTCTAAAACCTATAACTATATTGAATTCAATGATAATTAACTAATGTGGCTAAAAACTTTAACACTCTTTATTTTATGTATATGTATATTTATTACTGTTGTGAAATTAGTGAAAGAGGACAACAGAATGATTGTTGTGTGATAATAATGTTATGTTGCAGAGGGGATATTCCATTCTGTAGTGAAGAGTGCAGGCAAGAACAAATAGATATGGATGAAGCAAAAGAGGAAAAATTAAATCTTTCAACTTCTATCAAGGCTTTGAGAATAAAGTCCACTTCTCCCACTAACACTACACAAGATTACCCTTTACGTATTAGAGGCAGTGTTGTTGCAGCTTGAATT